CTGACATTAGTTATGTCTGTTGCCCATCTTTTTGAGATGAGTATATGGTCAATTTGATTTGCTTCCTTAGTTCCTGGTATTTTCCATGTTCCTTTATGGATATCTTTTCTCTGAAAGTTAGTACTGACAACTACGTAATTATTTGCTGCTCCGGACTGTGCCACCCTGAGTCCATTTTGACTGGTTTCAGTGTGCAAACTGTGTTTCCCAAATATATTTGCAAACGTTTCTTCTTTCCCCAGTTTAGCATTAAAATCGCCTAACGTTTTAACAGCATCGTGTCTTTGGATTTTATCACATACATCCTGTAGTTCTCCATAGAATCTTTCAACGTCTTCTTCATCAGCCTCTTCCGTCGGTGCACATACATTAACCATTGTCACGTTATGAAATTTACCTTTAAATCTTATGGTGCAAATTCTATCTGATATTGGTGTAAATGCGATAATGGCTTTCCGCAGTTTTTTGGTTATTATAAACCCTACTCCTCTTTCACCTTGTCTCATTTCATTTCCGGAGTAGTATAGTGAGAATTTATTCTTATGAATTTCTCCCTGGCTCTTCCATCTGATTTCCTGCAGTGCCAATATTTCAACTCCGTATTTTTCAAGTTCTTCTGCCATACTTATCATAGCTCCTGCCTTTAAGAAGGTTCGCACGTTCCGGGTTCTAAATTTTAAATCCATAATCATGTCCATTTTTCTGTGCTGAGTTCGTTGTTATGAGATCCGTCCGTTTGTTTCATTAGCCATTGTATTCGCAACAATTGAGTTCTACAAGGAAGGGTTGTTAACCCTTCGCTCAACCCCCTTTTCATCGGAGGACCAAGGCTCCCTTCTTCGTCTGCCCTGACCCACCATCCACTGGGGTTGGTTACCCAGTCTCCAGTGGGGTTGCTCAGGTTACCGGTGTGTACCAGCGTGGAGGTGAAGATAGGAATTGAGTAGGAGAGGCTAAGTGATGCCAACAGGATACGACATCATGTATTGCGCTTAACTAGTTTTTCTTAAAACAGTTTTTGGAAAATTTGAATATAAATGGTGGACTACCAGTTTTTTAATAGGTAGGTACTTGGAATTTGGTCCTTAAAGACTCCCATTGACTGAAAGTTTAAAATCGCAAAGGGAAATCTTCTTTTGATATCCACTGTTATATAAGAAATATGTTATATGTTCACATGAATAGTAGCTCAGCATTTGTTCACGTAAGTGTATACCACATTTATTTTTATTATATTAATCAATTAACTCTTTTAAATATCAATCCTCTTCTTGATCTAATTCTAACCCTCTGACAACGAAATTCTGAATATATCATGTATATATCTCGTTTATCTCTGCATTTGGTCACACATATTTCTTCAGGACTGTAAATACTGACCATCTCACGTTGTTTTTAGTTTCTTTGACAAGTAGAGATTGTCTATTCGGTTATTTCTTAATATAGACTATGAGCAATTGTCTAGATTGTCTAGCTTATTGAACACTATTATAGAAGTTTTTAGTGGTCAATCTACGTTTATGTTCACATCTAGCTTTTTTAGATGTCGAAAGCATATTATTTACATCTATTTTTTTTACAAATATAATACAATTTACAAAAACAATTTTATAACTCACTTTTACAGAGGTAATTAACAATAAAAACGTACTAATAGAAACTAATAATTTACGATTTTCAATACTATAAGGGTACTTGAGGAACAATACGTTTTCACGTAATAATAGTTCCTGTATAAGTGAAATTGTATTTTAATGTGCTTTATTGAAGCACACTAGACATATTGCAGTTTTACCATCACATGCTCCACAGTATGTTTTAACTATTTTAACTTTTCTATCGGTCTTTCTACTAGTCATGTTCCTTCTTAAACTTTTGTAATATCTTGTACACTTTCTTCTCTTTTTATTACCTACGTCGCTTTGCCTAAGATGGTATTTTTTGGGTGTAACTGGTCGTGAGCGTTCCAACATTTATTTATTTGCAAATGTCTTCGCGAACACCAATCTGAACTCAATGATAGGTTGTCGCTTTTTCGCCTTTTCTATTATTTAACAACTAAGCATTGGCTACTGCGGTATTAAATATTAATTTCACTGCCCCTTTCCGGTACCACTTCAGAATTTTGGATATTGGGTTCTGGTAAGAAGCAATTTGATTACTAAAATCAACACTCTTTTTCACCAAGTTATAATCGAGAATAGCTTGTGGTTTTAGCACTTGTGTATAATTTTTCTTTTCACCTGATTAAACCAAGATAAAACTATTATGTTGAAATATTGTAATAATTAAAACTGGTTTTTGTTGACACATTTTTTCACTTGTGAAATCAATAATGGGGGTAAATTTCATTATAAGTAACCGGTTGCCACTTTTTTAATCAAGATTTTGGTTTTACATTTTTTGTAGTAGACCATATGCACATAAATTCGTTTTTTAAACTATGATTATAATTCATCGACCAATATTCTAATAAAAAAGTGTTTTTGCGTCGTCCGGAATGTTATAAACTGGTTCTCTTTCACAAAGCATACGAAATATGGTTTACATTCTACATTTAGAAAAATCTTTTATAATGCAAGTCTTGTTCGTTTACCTAAACTTAATTAATACACAAAAAAAAAATAATCTATTGTTTATATAGAAATGCATATTCCTGTCGGATTTGTATCAGTGGGGCATGAGTCACTGGTGTCTCGTATATCAGGACCTCTTATTGCATTACAAACATAGTTCTCAATTAGCAGTGTGGTACAAATTAAAGCCGTAATACTGTTCGTAATACCATAAGACCGTATGTTATAAATAAATATATCCCTACAAGAATTATCTTGAAAAATGGGAAAAATACAATAAAAAAAAGCAATATCAAAAGGTATTTAAAAATGGCTAGTCATTCATGGGCGTACAGTTAAAAACAAAAGTTTTCAGTGTTCTATTGCTTGATTATTATTATCTGGTTGGTATATTTTAAAAATACTAGCTAAGTATTCTGCAAATGTTGACATTTTTTTCTGGTCTGATCTGCCTCAACTAACGTCATTTTTTTTAAATGGTGTATTATTTCATATTCTTAAATGTATATTATATATTTCACGTTCTACGATGCATTCCACGTTTGACACACTGTCTTATTTAATTTTCTGTCATTCTATTTGTTAAATCCTATCCAATTTACGTCACAGCGTCAAGGAGCAGTAAATGTGTGCAGTGAACGGGGGCATATGTCTAACAGTGAATGTTGGAACTTTTTCGCGTTTATCATATGTACAGTAGTTGACTAAAAGTAGACGTATGCAAATCATATGCTATTCGCTAAATTCTGTCACGTAATATGCCATAGACCTCTGTGGGTTATTACGTTTTATTGCTGCCAGTTTACCGTGATATTACATGCCGCCATGTTTACTTTGTCTCCACCATCGTATTATCTCCATTAAATCTTATCATTTAGGCTCCATATGTCATGATTAGACCTATAGGACAGGAGATACATAACTAAGGCTCTTTTGACATAGCATATATAGGAGCAAATATTTATACCTAAGGTCTTTTTGACGTGTTGCTGTATTTGATCTACGTCGTAGCATTCTATTGGTTAAATGATATCATTTGAGGTACTGTATGTCACGATTGGACTAATAGGATAGAAGATACATAACTAGGCCCTTTCACGATTGGACTAACAGGACCGCGGATGCATAACTAAGGCCCTTTTGACAGGCTGATGTATGCTGTATTTTATTTTTCTGTCTCATAGTATTTGATTGGTTAAATCCTATCATTTGAGGTACTGTACGTCACGATTGTGCCACTACAAACGAAGATATGTAAATAGGGCCCTTTTGACATGTTGCTGTATTTGATTTCTAAGTCATTGTATTCTATTAGTTAAGTGCTACCATTTGCTATATCGTACGTGACGATTGGACTAATAGGACCGAAGATACATAACTAAGGCCCTTTTGACATGCTACTCCATTTAATTTTTATACCTTATTGTATTTTATTAGCTAAAACCTTTCATTTGAGGTGCTGCACGTCATGATTAGAATAATAGACCGAAGATACACAACTAAGGCCCTTTTGGCATGTTGCTCTATCCGATTTTTCTATTTCATTGTTTTCCATTGGTTAAATCCTATCATTTGAGATACTGTACGTCACGATTGGACTTATAGAAACGAAGATATATAACTAAGGCCTTTTTGACATGCTGCTGTATTTGATTTTTCTGTCTTATTGTATTTTATTGGTTAAATCCTATCATTTGAGATACTGTACGTCACGACTGGACCAATTGGAGCGAAGATACATGATGCCAGAATGATTTATGGATGAAAAAAATATATATATTTTTAAATTTACTATTTCGTTGTGGGTAATATTATATTCAACAGCGATGCCAAATTTCTGATGCTAAAATGATTGATAATGAAAGTTGGATATACATTTTTATGTATATAATGACATCGAGTAAACGGTAAAACCCTGAACTAAATATATATAATATTTTCACCGTACCATCATTTTAGACTCAAACATTTTCTGGAATAAACTTATATAACTCAGTAAGGGATAAAAAGAGAAAGCCGATATTTTAAAATACCAACACGGTATCAAATCTCTAATCAGTGAGATGGTTAAAATTCTTGTAACAAGTACAGAAAAAAAGTTACATAGGTGTTGTAAAGTAGCGTCGATATACAGATGCTACTTTGCAAGACGATGCTAAATTGATGGTAAAAGCATAATGTATCGATGCCAAAATGATAGTAGGATGTATATATGTAAATATATATATTTATATATATAAATATATATATATATATATATATATATATATATATATATATATATGTATATATAATTACTAACAAGATCAAAGAAAATGATTATTGCAACAAACCTCTCAAACATAAATTTAACATTGAGTGTTTAATTATGTAAAGTACAATGAAAAATGACTAATACTCATGATTAAGATATAATAAACTCACCACTAAATTGTTCATTTGTCTCGCCAGGTCCAAAACTGATTTAGTTCCGTTGACATTAATATTATAGGCAAGTTTTAGATTTTCGTCGAATTTAACAGTGGCAGCCACATGGAAGACGATGTTTACTTTAGACATTAAAGTTTGCCTGTCTGTGATGTTTAATCCTAAACCTGATTGTGTGCAGTCTCCAGATATTGCTTCTACTTTGTGTCTGAATTTTGGGCACTCCTTCTTTAATCTATCAAATACCTAAAATAAGAGTAATAATTAAAAAATTTTAATTTTTACAGATAAGAAGAGATACATTTTTAATTGCTAAATTTAAATTGCTTTAATTAAAAAAGTTTTTCTAATTTCGACTAAAACAAAAGCGTCAAAATAGTTTATACGTCATTTTGTTTAAATTTAAGACTAAGAACACAAAAAATTTGAGTATCAGTGAATTTTAGAGAGTATGGCCAAAAAAGAGGCTGATGAAACAATTACCAATAGAATTGAAAAGGTATTCTTCAAGGCCATCAGAGGTCTGGAGGATGGCTCCAATCAGATACCTGCATTTGACAACTGGCAATAAACTTTTTGTGTTAAAACTGGAACGTTATTTCATTTTATTTCATTTTTTTAAGATAGTAATATTTCTACCATGGTACATTGCAATATTATTCTAAGCAATATTTAACTATCTGCTTTATAATACAAATGTACTACGATATTTACATTTTTATGGCAATTAATACTCATGAATAATACACCTGAACAAAAAATAATAACAAAGGGAATTATATTAATTTAGTAAATACTGTCCGTTTTGAAATGATCCTTTTTGTCGGTTTTGTCCAATAATCTACAAGAAAAATTATAAAACGTATCGTGTTGTTGACCCAGAAAACTTTAATAACTATATAATTAAGTAATTATATCATAATTTACTGCATTTTCATAAAAGAAAATTTAATTAAAAACTCGTGTTTTTAGTCTTACATAAGTTTATTTATAAAATTGGTTTAGTTGCTTGCATAAAATTTGCATTTTTTTCATTTGCCCCGGTCTATCTGAGCAACAATTATCAAATTCACGTAAAATTGTATACAGAGGTTTGAACGTTTTAAAAGGTATGTGAGGGATAGCTGATAAGAATTCCATAAAGATGTATAGCTAATTTTCCCTTGTTTTTTTAAACAATCGTAAATATTGAGAAAACAATTGTTTTTCTATAAAACATTTCTTATAGATTTTAGAGAAATATATTTTAAATGAAGGTTTGAAAATCTTAGCAATTTCTTTACTTTTCGTGTTTCTAAATTAGAACATAATAAAGAATTGACCGAGACAATTGCAAAAACCCTTATTTTTACAGTAATTTATAAACGTTAACAACTTTGTTTTTTTGCATAATCCCATATAATATAACTAATTAACATTATTGTAATTAATAATCTATTGAAGTGTGTTAAATCTCAGCTTGATCGACTAAATAGTTTATAAGTTATTGAATTTGTTGATCCCAGAGCGATTATTTAAACACCTGTACATGCCCAAACAGTCACCCTAGAAATATTTAGCAGATCTAAATCGATTATTTGGGGCTTCGGTATTAAGATGTATTTAAAAATTTCAACATTTTATCAAAATTGCTATTAAAAAAACGGTTAAAACAGTTAAAACTTTTTAGCTTATAAACAACTAAAATAACTTTACTGTTTTATGTTAAGTTCTTATGTCACATGCTTTTAAGTAGGCTAACTAAATAGATGTGTTTAGTTTAGGTTATTAAGTTATTATATTTTTTTCATAATGGTAATACCTTATTTTGACATTATTATCGAAATTATCGAACAGAGCGCACTTTTTTGTATGCGAATGTCTTAGTTTTTCATATTTCGTTTATGTCACATTACCGTACGTTCGATAAATAAAAGATGTTTAACTCATACACATAAGAAAAATCTAATAAAGACAGATCAGGAGATCTAGCTGGCCACTATAAAATTAGCGTCTACCAATTCATCTATTAGGAAAACATTTTTTAGGTATTAATGTACATGTCGTGCATAATACGGTGATATACCATATTGCTGATACTATAACAAATTATCCGGTAGCTGAAAATTTTGATTATTTAAGAATATTCGCTGGAAATTCTCCGCTGTTAAAGTAAAATCGAATACTTGTCACCATTCAATAAACAGTTAGTTTCAAATGGTCCCACAATTTAATTACCGAAGTTTTCCGCCCACACGTTGACTGTCTGTGGATACTGAGTGTGCCCTTCTAGCGCCTAGTGCGGGTTCTCTTGTGGTCAGTACCTACAATTCTGCCCTATCCGACAAAACACATTTTCTCAGGAATTGTGGATCATGATGACATCATCCATCCTTAATTCGCAAAATTCTTGTCTAGAATCAAAATCATCTTCATTAAGTATATGAATCACTTGCATTTTATATTGGTGCCACTTATTCTCTTTTGCAGACTTTAAAATAGACTTGTTACATATCGATTGCTCCATAGTAACTTAACAGTTAGGTAGGTTTATGAGAATTTTCTTGTACTAGTTATACATATAATATCCAATTGTTCATCTTGCGTACGGCCTGGATGGCCTTTTTATATTTATAACCGGCATTGCCAAAATTTCTATACTTGAATCAGTATGCAGTAAAAAATATGATATAAATAAAAAATATAGATGAGATAATTTTAAACAAAAATGTTTGTTACCTTTTTTGTATACAATAAACCGTCCTCTCAAAAATAACGCTTGAAGCAACCAACGATTTTGAATGTCAGTTACGCGCGCGAAATCAATTTTACAAAAAAAAATATATCAACTATCTTTTTGATAGTTGATATAATTCGATATCTTTTGATAAAAGATTCCTTTCGACAAAACTCAAAATGCTTACAGATAAAATTTTTTGTATTTTGCAACAAATAATATCAGTTTTTATAAAGTTGTTAAAAAAATAAACATTGCCCGATTTTTGCCATCTATACGATTTTCATAAGATCAATAACATTTATCACTTTTATTGACCGGTCGTAAAGGAATTTTTATTGTTAAAGCTGAATCTTCAAAACCACTGACATCAAAATTTTGATTTTGAATTTTGGCCACAATTATGAGGCATTTGTCTAAAAATTGCTGAATTTAAACTCTTACGGAACATTGTAAAACGTTTAAACTTGGTTCTTTTTGACTGCATTAGAATTTTACTTGAACTTGATATATAGATATATATATATATATATATATATATATATATATATATATATATATATATATATATATATATATATATATAATATATATAAAAGTGTAATATCATACCCTTATTCCTGTGAAGAGATAGCAGTTTGAATTCGTTAAAATTCTACAATATAAATTATTAACAATAATAACATAACTAACATAACTTAACAAATATACAAACCTAAAAATAGAATCAAGAACAATGCTATTTCTTACGCCATTAAGTAATTTGACAATTGTACCATAAAATTTACAATATGTCAATGTCAATAAAACTTAAACAGTCATACAACCTAAAACTTTAAATAACTAAAAATAACTAAACCCTGCTGTTTCACTTAAAATAAACATAGGTTTACTTTTACATCCCCTACCAAAAAGGTATGATAAACCATCTAAGTATATCGTTTATCACAAGGTATCAATTTTGAAATATGGAAATAATTCATATCATTCTTTTTGTATCCAATATCTACTTCATAATATAATGTATTTGAAATTTGTTTTTTTTTATTTGAAATGGACCTATTCTTACTTCGTCAAGTTTTTTTCTATTTAGTTTTGATTTATTTTCTACATATGCCCAATCTCCCTCTTTGAATTCATAGGATTTTCTATTTTTGTCATACAGTTTTTTATTATATTCATGATGTCGTACTAAATTTTTATAGGCTATTTCTTTATCTTTTGATGCATTTGTTGTCTCACACAGTTCCTCGGGAACAATCGGATCTGCTTTTCCAAAAGCAAATATTCTGGGCTATATCCGGTTACAGAATGATATGTTTTATTGTATTCCTCTATACATTCTTCAGCTATTTTTATCCATGCTCGAATTCTAGTTTCATTTTGTTTGCATCTTACTCTGTTAACTAATGTCTGATTAAGTCTTTCATTTAATCCATTCGAGAATGGACAGTCTACTGCTGTAAAAATTAATTGAATATTTAAATGTTTCATATGATTTCTAAATATTTTGGAATTAATTCCTGGATACTGATCTGTTAATAATGTTTTGTGGGGTGTTTATCTTGAATTTTGGTGATTAATTTTATGAAATCATCTGTGGTCTGATTTTTAGAAGTAACTGCAAACGCATATCTGGTGAAGTGATCTACAAGTAAGTGGAGGTATTTTTTTGATGAACGATTGCCACCAAATCCTCCTATTGTATCTAAGGACATTATCTGGAAAGGTTCTTTTGCTGGACCCAATTGTGACAAAAGACCATATTTTGGACCGATTCTTGTTTTATTTTTACAGCAGATCTCGCATTTTTGAGAGATATCCTTTGCTAGTGAATCTATATTCTTAATGTAGTAAAAATTTCTAATTTTGTTTGGTACTTTACCAGCACAAATATGACCATAAAATTTATGAGCTTTTGTTATTAACTCTTTTCCAAATCTTTGGATAAATTTTTTTTTTCATTCTTCCTTAATTTATAAAATATATCTTGGTTCAAAATGGTTCCTCTCATTGTATCTATAACTTGTCGATTATTACTTTGCTCTTGTTTTATCTCAGTTAATGTGACTAGGTTTACTGTTCTTATGCTTGTTTCTGCATTTTTCATATTTTCCAAAACTGGGTTTCTAGAAAGGCAGTCTGCTTTTACATTTTCTTTTCCAGGTTCATATTTAATGTCGAAGTCAAATTGTGAAAGAAAATGTGTCATATCTCCTAATTCTTCATCTGGTCTTGTATGAAGTTCTCTTCCCTCAAGGGGTTTATGATCAGTAATAACGAGAAATTTTCTTCCCATTAGCCAGTATTGCCAAAATTTTATTGCTTCTTTAATTGCCAGGCATTCTAAAAAAATAGCCTTTTTATTTTTTTGATATTTGTTCAATTTTTTTGAAAAGTATGTTACGGGTTTTATTTCTCCATCTCTTTATTTTTGTTTCAGAACCGCACCAATTCCTAGAACACTAGCATATGTATATATAGTTGTAGGAGCATTTGGGTTAAAAATGGCTAGTATAGGTTCAGAAAA